CTCATCCGCCAGCCTCTCATTCTCAGCTGCCTTCTGCTCAAGCTCCTCCGCCAGCCTCTCATTCTCCGCTGCCTTCTGCTCAAGCTCCTCCGCCAGCCTCTCATTCTCCGCTGCCTTCTGCTCAAGCTCATCCGCCAGCTTCTCATTCTCCGCTGCCTTCTGCTCAAGCTCATCCGCCAGCTTCTCATTCTCCGCTGCCTTCTGCTCAAGCTCCTCCGCCAGCCTCTCATTCTCCGCTGCCTTCTGCTCAAGCTCATCCGCCAGCCTCTCATTCTCCGCTGCCTTCTGCTCAAGCTCATCCGCCAGCCTCTCATTCTCCGCTGCCTTCTGCTCAAGCTCATCCGCCAGCTTCTCATTCTCCGCTGCCTTCTGCTCAAGCTCATCCGCCAGCTTCTCATTCTCAGCTGCCTTCTGCTCAAGCTCATCCGCCAGCCTCTCATTCTCCGCTGCCTTCTGCTCAAGCTCCTCCGCCAGCCTCTCATTCTCCGCTGCCTTCTGCTCAAGCTCCTCCGCCAGCCTCTCATTCTCCGCTGCCTTCTGCTCAAGCTCCTCCGCCAGCCTCTCATTCTCCGCTGCCTTCTGCTCAAGCTCATCCGCCAGCCTCTCATTCTCCGCTGCCTTCTGCTCAAGCTCCTCCGCCAGCCTCTCATTCTCCGCTGCCTTCTGCTCAAGCTCATCCGCCAGCTTCTCATTTTCCGCTGCCTTCTGCTCAAGCTCCTCCGCCAGCCTCTCATTCTCCGCTGCCTTCTGCTCAAGCTCATCCGCCAGCTTCTCATTCTCCGCTGCCTTCTGCTCAAGCTCATCCGCCAGCTTCTCATTCTCCGCTGCCTTCTGCTCAAGCTCATCCGCCAGCCTCTCATTCTCCGCTGCCTTCTGCTCAAGCTCATCCGCCAGCCTCTCATTCTCCGCTGCCTTCTGCTCAAGCTCATCCGCCAGCTTCTCATTCTCCGCTGTCTTCTGCTCAAGCTCATCCGCCAGCTTCTCATTCTCCGCTGTCTTCTGCTCAAGCTCATCCGCCAGCCTCTCATTCTCCGCTGCCTTCTGCTCAAGCTCATCCGCCAGCCTCTCATTCTCCGCTGCCTTCTGCTCAAGCTCATCCGCCAGCCTCTCATTCTCCGCTGCCTTCTGCTCAAGCTCATCCGCCAGCCTCTCATTCTCCGCTGCCTTCTGCTCAAGCTCATCCGCCAGCCTCTCATTCTCCGCTGCCTTCTGCTCAAGCTCCTCCGCCAGCCTCTCATTCTCCGCTGCCTTCTGCTCAAGCTCATCCGCCAGCCTCTCATTCTCCGCTGTCTTCTGCTCAAGCTCATCCGCCAGCCTCTCATTCTCCGCTGCCTTCTGCTCAAGCTCATCCGCCAGCCTCTCATTCTCCGCTGCCTTCTGCTCAAGCTCATCCGCCAGCCTCTCATTCTCCGCTGCCTTCTGCTCAAGCTCATCCGCCAGCCTCTCATTCTCCGCTGCCTTCTGCTCAAGCTCCTCCGCCAGCCTCTCATTCTCCGCTGCCTTCTGCTCAAGCTCCTCCGCCAGCCTCTCATTCTCCGCTGCCTTCTGCTCAAGCTCCTCCGCCAGCCTCTCATTCTCCGCTGCCTTCTGCTCAAGCTCATCCGCCAGCTTCTCATTCTCCGCTGCCTTCTGCTCAAGCTCCTCCGCCAGCCTCTCATTCTCCGCTGCCTTCTGCTCAAGCTCCTCCGCCAGCCT